TTGTGTCCTCGTCTTTGCTTTATTCTGTTTTATTTTGTCTTTTGTTTTGTTTTTTACTGGCACGTACCCCCGCCCCTTCCTTTGGCCGTCGACCTGCCTCCATGTAGTGGGAGGCTACCCCCCCAGGCTGGTGGTGCGGCCGTTCCACTAGTCTAATTATTTATTTTATTTTTATTTTATTTGTTTCTGATTATATTTTGTTTTCTTGTATTTTATCGCTCTGCTGACCCTTGGGGTCCGTTTTATTTTGGTATACCTTTTCTAGGTACGTTAGCCTGTGACCACGGAAATTGGCCGAGTCAAGTGATGGATTAGTACGGAGAGATTGAGAAAGAAGGAGGTACTGGATAGAGAGACCGGGATGGTTTTTAATGTGAAGACAACAACAACAACAACAACAGAGCTAATGTGAGAAACAACAACAAACAACAACAGTACAATCTGCCTATTTGTGGACGAGAGTGACCGCCGATGTTCTATTTGGCTCTTCGGAGAGATATTTAGAAATTATCTAGACACAGGTACTACTTGTGTCGTCGGATATATCCCGCAGCGACACATTTTCCTTCTACCAGGAGCCGTAGCAGCAGCACGACGAACAGGCACGTGTTCGAGGGAGGGGAAAGTATTGAGAGAGCAAGATGAGGAGAGAGAAACGAGGGAGAGAAAGGGAGAGGCACAGAGATTCCGCGCCTCGAGGAAGAGGAATCCGCGTTCATACCCTTTGTCTACGCGCATTTCCGCCTTACACCCGTAGCCATTCGGCTACCCCTCCAGGGTTACGGGGGAGGACCTCGTGCAGGGTACCAGATTTTGCAGCTATACAGGGTGCCACATTCTAAGGTGTCCCAGGGCTACGACCTTGACAAGGTGTCGCTTAGGTTGCCACCTTGACAGGGCCGGGGTGTCCTGGAACCTTGTCAGGGCAAGGCCTACCAACCATGGCACGGTGAGTCCGGCTGTGCACAATGGGGGGGTGGCTTTGCGAAACGGGTTCATTTTCTCTGTTTTCTACGGTTAGACTACAGCAGTAACTCCCACATNTGTCAGGGCAAGGCCTACCAACCATGGCACGGTGAGTCCGGCTGTGCACAATGGGGGGGTGGCTTTGCGAAACGGGTTCATTTTCTCTGTTTTCTACGGTTAGACTACAGCAGTAACTCCCACATTGTTGTGCCGCACAACGGTCCATAAGTGCCGTTTCCTCGGTGGTGAGGTAC